TAGTTTAAGGGTTCAGAAAACTTGAACACTTGACCTGTATTCTTTCAACATGGCTTACCTTGTTGTACAATATTTCAAGATAAACGGTGCGTATTTAGGAGTTGACTTAAGAAGTCTACGGTATAGCAGTTTTAAAACGTGCTCACTTGTTGCGAAATTGAACAATTTCCAAAACCAAGTACTCTCTCTGCACCCTTAGTTATGGAGTCAATATTTATACAATAAAAGCAATGGCGAATAATCTCATGGAACATTAACATAATTAATAAAAATTAAATAACCAAGATGTGAGCCTTGTAGATCACCTGATGCAACAGGCTTCTTCTGAGAGATATTGTCTACTGTAAAGGTAGAACTAATTAAGAGTGATGATATGAATGATAAATGAGTTTGTAGAGTAACAATTGCTAATAGTTGATAGTATCAAAACCATTAGAAAAATGTGTGTAGATGACATGACATAACACTAATGGCATAATTAAAATCATAGAATTGCATCGCTAAATTGCTAAAACATGACCTGCCCATGCTGTTTAGATGAAACTACATCACCAACATGGCTATAAAACACATTCAAATTTAATAGAGTGGCTAACGAAAAGAGCTAGTTGATCCAGATAGTTTAACTGCAAAGAAAACAATTTGGCAACTATTTCCAATCGTCTCACATGTGTTCAAGCAAAGTAATTGCTTTCTGACTTTTTTTTTCTATGTCGGTATTATAACGGAGTGATCTTAACAAATGACTCAAAATTGTATTCTCTGAAGGTAATACCTTGCTCAAATCAAGATGAGTATAAATCAAAATTCAATTGTGGGTCGGAAGGTTTATATGTTGACTTTAAAGCAAATATTATTAGCTAAACCAACTGGAGAGAACACTCACACAAACTTTGGTCCTTTATTATGAGCCCAGTCTATAGACGGTAAGTTTAAGTCGCTAATTAGAGTGACATCCTTATCTACTTCAAACAGCATCCGGTTCAGGATTGAGTTCAATCAGTAAAATCACTTTGCATCGTTGTCTCGGCCCGATGCTACGAAACACCGTATGTTACCTCCTAACGCCGGGAAATGACAAGGATCCACAAACTAGATTAAATTACTATCAAAACATAAATGTATTTGTTCTGTGCGCACAAGGTATCACTGGATTGTACAGCATATGAACATTTCTTACAATGAATTACTATATATTCAATATTGGTGAAATACAATACATACCTCAAATATCAAGAACTCGTGACTATTAATCCTCCAACGATATGTGACTAGACTATAAATACAAGTATAAATACAAAAATTTATTGATGCACACATTAAGCAACAGAATCAGAAATATGTGTATAATATCACCGACATTCCCGCCGTATTCAATTTGTTACAAACAAAGGCCAAGCATTTCGAAACATCCCACTTATATATATACACCAGAATACGGCTTGGTTTTACAGCCACGAACTCCAATTTGGTTACTTTAACATTGGCTCCAGAAACACCATCAAATCGCATTAATTACTATATAAATTACACTCTCATAACGCAAATATTCAATACTATATTTTAGCAGTGCCTCCAGAAACGCCACCAAACCGCATTAATTACTATATAAATTACGTTAACGTTAACACAATCGTATCATAACAACGTCATAACTCGATAGCAATACTATATAATTATTCGGAATGCATGCCCCTTAAAACAGTTGATAATTATGCTGTCATACAAGTACAAATCACAAACACAAACATAGGGATTTGATATAAATACAAATATGTACGCAAACAATTTAGTTCAGTTCGGGGATATGGTCAGTTCCATAAGAAATACCTTTGGCCACGGTAAAGTAGCAATGTACAATAACGCTGGTATATTCACTTACTTGATACGATGGCGTTCACGCACCTTTCGGTTCTTTAGCTGTCGGGCTAAAGTAGTTAATCGACGAACACGCACTTAAAGTAAATGCTGAACTCAGCGGAGAACGGCATAGCAGGCCAGAACATTGACTAATCAAGTTATTGTAATGAATGACTACAAATTCAAGCCTGACGACCCATTTCAAAGAAAACGCATGAGGCGTTTCTCTTGCTTGGTGTGTTCGCATTCTTAAATACTAAAAATACTAAAAAATACTAACCAAATAGCACAATTCCAAAACTATGAAATACACAAAACAATACAGAGAACTACGTGACAATCGTGTTAAACATAACCGAACTTAATGATAGTTTGACATAGTAACATGGTTTCAATTCCCATTATAATATGCCATCATACAGTTCAAACCGGACACATTCTTAGGGTGGCGTGGTTGCACTGTACATTCCTATGGACTGTGAATCGATCCTTGTGGAGACCCTCATTAATAACAAAAAGCTGATTGTAGAAGTTAATTATAGGAAGACAAACACCCCGTACTACGAATTTCAGGATAGCTTTGAAGCTTGTCAGCTTGTCACATTGTCAGCTGGAGGAAGTGATTGTGTAAAACTTGGAGATGTGATTATCGACACTACCCATAACGTTACCTTCGCTACTCATTATACTAAACTACTAAATACTCACAACCTTTTCCAATTAATTCAAACTTCTACTCGAGTTACGGAACATACTTGTAAAACTATAGACAACCTCGCAACTAATATTACCGATTATTATTATTAATGTGCACCATTCAGTCAGTTAACACAGATCATTTCTATATTTGGGACAATTAAACGTTTCAAGCATGTATTTAAATCAGAAGCCAAATATAACAGTTTTGATTTTAAGAACATAACCTGGCAATCAGCTAATGATTGTATTGATATTTTTAGTACTATCTAATCATTATTTCCTAATCAAAATTATTAAAAAATAAATCTAAATCAGCCCCAGACCTAAACACAAATTATTTTAAAAAACGCGATGTCACCCATTATTGTAGTAAAGTAATCCCTATATATCTTGGAATTATTTACAATTTATTGCAAAAATGATTATTGTTACAGTTATCATTATTACAACATATATGCTTAATTACTTGTTCATAGTTTCAAACAATTGTAACTATTAGGCTTATGACCCTCTACTAAATGTTTTTACTGGATATATCGTATTAGAATTGGGGCCTATTTCAATCAAACTATATCTGCATTCACACCGAATAACAACTTGCAAATTATTATTATTATATTATTATTTACATATTTTTGTTTTTCCTGGTGAAATAAATTCATACAATATTATACAATATAGATTATGATGCAACGAACACTATATCATATAGTCTTGTATTGATTAGATTTTGTACTAATATTGATTAGGGGCGTTTTACAACACCATTATTCATTCTTGTTGACATGTTACATTTGAATGCTTTTCTATTCAGTATTTTCTGTGGGCATGTTAGTTTTACTCTGCACCAATATTAGCTTGGAGCGCTGTCCCACAAGTCACGTAGTTTATTTACATGTATGCTGTAAATAACTGCATGCATTGTTATGTATAAATATTTTGTTTTGTATGTTTTGCTTATTGACTATTTATGTTTGCAACCACGCGATTTTTGGATTGGAATACATATAGTATATGTGGTTTGATCTGTTGGCAAGGAAAGTATTGGCGGGAAACTCTGAGCAAACATTCTTAGTAGAAGTGAACATAATGCATATTGGATCCCAATAATATTGGGCTTGAAGCAAAATGGTATTCTTGGCGATTCCATTTGACAGCAGGTGCCGCTGTGTGTTATTCACGTGTAGAATCTACCTTCATAGGACTGGCGATGTTTTGTTCTGGTGTGGAAATATATTATAAAATGTGTAGTTTTTACCCATTCTAAATCCAAAAAGACTGATGTTACGTGTACAAAGCGTAATAACGTGTACTGAAATGTTATTACCGGGATAAAACACGGTGAATCCAGGATTTTGGCAAGCGGGATATTTATGTTGCAGGTCTCTAGTGTATTATCCCGATAATGAACATGCGTCATTAAGCAAAATCGACCCCAGCCATGTTTGTTCTCGCATGGCAGTCTCACTGATTTAATGACTTAACATATATTGTAAGGGATAACAATGATTGCAATTCACAAACACGGAGATTGACACTGGAAAAGTCTTTGGGTGACATCAATATCTAGTAGGTGTTTCCGAATAGATTCAAAACAGATTCTCAAATATTTAGCGATTTAGGGAACTGATTCTTTCGTCTCCCGACGACCCGGGTCTAACTCGACTTTTGTTCGGGTCTAACTATATAAATGCACAAGAGACAATCTCCCTCTGATTGGTAGGAGTTACAATAGTTCGGCTACAATAATATTTTGCAGTGTAAACACAACACACTGTTCAAATATTAGCATGACGTGTGACGTGAGACTACTAAACACTTCCGGTACTTATATTTCAGTGTTATTCTTATCTCGTGACTATTATCAACTTGTTGTTACATTCCAATCTATATCTATTTTTACTTTCTATATATTCACATATATTGTATGCTTTAAGAGTTCGAATGATTTAATGCTCTGATTTAATTGAAAATTACTAAATAAATGAGTTATAATACGTTTTCGTAAGTACATTTAACTATCAACAATCACTCGTTTGTAGTTACCAATTTGCCTGTAATTACACTACTTTATATTATTAGATCTCTATAAAACCTGGACGATATCGATAAGGCTACACACTTAATATATCCGATTATACACTTTTAAATATATACCAATATATAATAAATGCACTTGAAAGCATGGGTTATAATCATGATGTATTTATTTAATACCTACTAGGATAATATTATTATAGTTTCTAAATTCTAAGCATGCATTATCGATACAATCATTTCAAGATACATAAGTGGCACTGTGGCGTAGTTTAATCTTCAACTTGATTGTCCGTGTGTCTGGATTTCGTCTAAAACAGAATATACATTATAGACATAAGTCCTATTACATTAATAACAACATACATATGCTGACCACTTTTTGTTTAGTTTGTATATTTTAGGATATCACATACTACAACTGTAAATTCCAAGTCGGGTCTAACAAATATTTGGAAGCAATTATTCCCATATTGAACGAGACATGCCTTTAACGGACAATGTAGTTCGTAACTTTAACGGGTTATCAATAAACAGGTGTGATTAAATATCATATTTCAATAACAAAATAACAATAACAAAAGGAGACAGAAACACAATAATACAAATTATAGAATAGACACGTGCGCATTTATGGGGTTAGTGCCTCTTTGAACTGTTGTTATTATTTAAATATAGGTTTTTTGTATGTCTATTGTTATTTTTCTAAATAATACTATTTTGAAATATGCCACATAAAATATCAGAAGTACATCAGATGTTCAGTTTAGTTACCCAAACATGTGCTGTGTTTAAACTCAATAACTCCAATCATCACTAGTAGTGTCAAAATACCAATCATCACTAGTAGTGTCATAATTCCAATCATCACTAGTAGTGTCAACATTCCAATCATCACTAGTAGTCCCTGCATCGGTAGTGGTAGCACAGCTCGCATCGTATT